GAAAGTGTTTTTCAATGATATCTGTGCATCTTTAAATATATGTTAATGTTTGACTATTCCTTTTAACTCCAATGAAAATAAAGTCAAAGTCTGTTAGAATAATCAAATATAACAATTTATTATGTCAGGTAAATGTATTATAACAATTCCATAATCAATTGAAAGATAATCAATGCAAATCATCAAATGTTTTAGGATTAGAGAAATAGATGCAAACCCAACATGAACTACATGAGCTAATCCTCACGGGCTGATCTGAGATACAGAAAGAGCCATGACTCCTTGCTGCATTCCATTAAATAGCCAGAACTTCTTTTCAATGGTAATTAGTAGGCATGTAACGATTCACTGAACTCGCGATGCGATACGATTCACGATACTGGTCTCACGATACGATTTTCTCACGATTTTTTGTACAAAATGAGATTTAAGAAAGATAAATGAAAAACTGTCTTTTATTGTTTCATTCTCACTCAGACAATGTTGCACATTTATTTCTGAAACTGAAATATCTTTGTCAAATAAAACTAAATTGAAATATTAAAACAAATCCCAAATCAAATAAATAATACAAATAAAATACATCTCTTAATATAAACAAACTAAGGCTTTGCTGGTGCTCTTTCCTAGCTTAGAATCTTTTTTTTATTTACATGTTTTTTTTAAGAAATATCAGCATATCCACATTTTCTGGCAGAAGCTGAGATCTCTGCACATTCACAATGTCCCCTGCTGATGAAAAAACCCTTTCACTAGGGACAGAGGTGGCTGGTGTGGAGAGATATGCTTTTGCTATACTGGATAGCAGTGGGTAAAGCCTAGCATTCTCTTTCCACCACTTGAGTGGACAGCTATTGAGGGAAATGGATGTTTCAGCTCTGTACTTATTAATTTCTGCATCAATCTGACTGATGTGCTGTGCAACTGGTTCATCAAAAGTCCCTCCAAGGAGATCTTCCAATGCTGTTTTCTTGGAAGGAGGTTGTTTCAGCTCTGCTCCTGCTCTGTCTGTCTGGTCAAGAGGCTGCTCTGCTGCAGGGGGGTGACCACTGACACCTTCTGTGCCCTCATCCTGCACAGAGGAATAGCAGAAATAAAAAGACTAAGTAAAATCTAAGTACAACATTGACAGGGGTTTCACATTGTTATAAAGGCAAGATTTTAATGTCATTTGTTATAATTTGTATCATTACTCAGAGTTAACACGAACACATTTGGAAACACATTTAGCAATCATAAATCATAATAAACAAATTATTTAAAAAAAATTAATTTAGAGAAAGAGTAAAATAAATACAATACCTGGTTCTGCAACATCAGTACAGCTTTCTGAAGTCTGTGGAATACATCATCGCGTTGGTCTTTATTTAGATGAGGCAGAGCCCGGAATCTGGGGTCTAATGCGGTGCATTCCAGCAGGTGGTTGTACTCTGAAGTGTATCTGTTGTAAAGGTTGTTCAGTATAGCTCTCTTTATGTTGCTCACAGTGGGGGAATCTTCTTCGTTGGATGCCATGTTATGCTCGATCATATGCTTTAAGGGCACAATGAGAGACACAGTGGGGTTTTTTTCGTCACACAGCACAGTGGTGGCCGTTTTGAGTGGCTTTAGAAGCTTCACCATGTCCTCCGCATCACGGATGTCTGAGCCATCCAAAGTATCAATGTCACGGACATTTCGTCGAACGTCGTTGCTCAGGAGAGTTGCTGTCACAGCCGCTTGCTGTTCGAGATAGCGTTCGATCATATCCAGACTGCTGTTCCAGCGCGTAGCGACATCGATGATTAACTTATGCGGTGGAAGCTCCAGTAGTATCTGTTTAGCTGCGAGCGCAGCTGTGGCTGTGGAGCTTCGGTGAAAGAAGGCAGCAATACGCCTCACTCTGCCCAACAAACGGCTCACGCGGGGCACACTCAAACCCGCTTGGCTAGCTAAGTTCAAAGTGTGGGCAAAACACCTGACATGGGGGGCCAGCCCAGCCTCTCTGACAGCAACATCCATATTCCTCGCGTTGTCCGTGACCACAGCAATTCCATGGTTGGCCTTTTGAATCCCCCATTCACTCACAGCTGATTTTAAAACTTCAGCAATATTAGCTCCTGTGTGTGTTTCGAACAATGGGCGAGTTTGGAGAACAAAATTAACCATCTCCCATTCACTGGTTATCACGTGGGCTGTGACCGTAAGATAACTCTGGGTAGCCCTGGAGGTCCAGCCGTCGGTTGTAATTGATACACTATATGCTTTTCTGAGGGTCTCAATTACCTTAGATTTTGTTTCCCTGTAAAGCGCTGGCATGACAGTCTGGCTAAAGTGGGGGCGTGATGGGATGGTGTATTTTGGCTCCAATTTGTTGACGAGTAGCCTAAATCCTTCATTTTCTACGACAGAAAACGGCCTCATATCTTTTGCCATGAAAACACCGATACACCTTGTGATCTCCTTGGCTCTCGCACTCGTTGCCGCGAGTGGGGCTGCAAATCCGCCAGTCAGTGTGGTTTGGCCCACTAACAGTTTTTTAGGTGCAGACGGCGGTGACTGGAGCTTCTCACTATGGTGACGGTTTGTATGCTGCATCATGTTTGTTGTGCTATTGGTGTATATTAAAATCCTCTTGCAGTATCTGCACACAGTTTTTGTTTTGTCCGTTACCACCTCTCCGCTTTCATTTTTAGTCTTCGCAAAGCCAAAATGCCGCCACACGTCCGATTTGAATGAGGTTGGGGCATCCGCAATATCAACGTCTACACTTGCCGCCGCCATTATTGCTACTGTTTAAAGCTACAGTCAGCTTGTTCGCTGCTATCGCACTTCGCGCCTGTAAAGCGAGGTCAAAATACTGCTTCAGCGCCCCTGCTGTTTAAAACGTGTATCGCGATTCGTTTAACATCTCAACCGACTTGAATCGTGACACATGTGTATCGATTTTCAACCGGTTGCGAGTGAATCGTTACATCCCTAGTAATTAGCATTCAGGTTACACCTTATTTTGGGGGTAGGGGAGAAAGGCCATTTGTCCACCTTTCTTTGTGTGTCAGTTTCTCTAAACTTCTAAAAAACCTTATTTCCTTTTGTTTTACTTATTTGGAATGAGACATCTGAACCAGCCACCCTGAGACCTTTAAAATGATACTAAACACAATAATCATTCACATTAAACCATATACAGGTATATATTCTTATGTGAGTTTTAGCTGTTACCGGGTGAGAGAATGAAATGTAAATCAGGTGAGACTGCGTGAGGGGGAGGTCGAATGTTAATTTTCAGCAAGTTCCTTTGTTTCAATAGACCATGTGGTCAAGACAGTTTCTCCAACCAGTTTTCCAGTCTTACACACACACACTCACATGCACACACTCTCTCACGCACACACTCACACGCACACACACATACACACTCACATGCACACACACACACACACACTCACTCTGGTCTCTCCTTAGGATCGGAGCTCATGCCGAAGGCTCTCACTCTCACACACACACACACACACGTCACACACACACACGCACTCACACACACACTCACTCACTCACACACACACACACACACACACACACACACACACACACACTCTCACTCTGGTCTCTCCTCAGGATCGGAGCTCATGCCGAAGGCTCTCTCCACCAGGATCGTGGGAGGGATCTGGTGGTTCTTCACGCTGATCATCATCTCCTCGTACACGGCCAATCTGGCGGCGTTCCTGACGGTGGAGCGAATGGAGTCGCCCATCGACTCGGCGGACGATCTGGCCAAGCAGACCAAGATCCTGTACGGCCTGGTCGAGGACGGCGCCACCATGACCTTCTTCAAGGTACTGCGAGAGCACAGTCACATTCAGTCCTGCAGCGACGTACAGGTGCAGTCTGTAAGAGCGGCCGCTAGTGGTCGAGATCGGCACTGCAGATCGTTGTTTCCCCGCCGCCTCAGACTCGACGCTCACGCCGGTCGCCAGTTTGACGACACGCAACAGGAACGAGCGCAATTGACAACGAAAGCCGAGGAGACTTACACACTTGTTAGTTGAAGAGTTGATTTTTCCGTGTTTTAATATGCTCTCGTTCATAGAGATTTTTAGATATCGAGGCTTTTTAGGTCGTGTGGAATCTGCGATCTCTGACCCGGTTTGTTTGCTCGTTTCCATGGCTACGATACATCAACTGGCAACCCGGGTGTCGAAATACTATTGGCTGAATGGGCAGTGGGCGGAGTCACACAGACTGACAACACAGAAAAATAATAAGTAAAATAACTGGCGGTTTTTCAAAGAAACGAGTATGCTAATATGATCATATCTGCAAACATATTATGGTATTTGTATGCTTTAGTAGAGTGAAAAAGTTAAATACAGCACCTTTAAACTGGAACTTTTTTTTTATTCAATTATGAAACATTCAATTCATCAGTAAAGCAGCTCTACAGAACACAGAGTCATTATAGACCAATTTCCAGCCGACGTCACAGTTACGTCACGGCGCTAGCTGGTGGCAGAACAAAGTGAAAACCGGAGGCAGCAAATACAAACCAGCACAGATTCGGCTACAAAATAAGGATCTTAAATAATTCTTCTTATTATTAAATGTCATCTTGTTGTGTTGTTGGGTGCAAGAATCAATGAAAAATGAATATGCTTTATCTGCAATTTTTTATTTCTAGAAAATATTCACCTCATTAAAATTGCACCGCAATGTCACTCTTTACATTGTCGTCTTCATCGCGCTGGCTCGGCAGAACTGCGGATCGTACCACACAAGTCTTGTACTTGACCATTCAGCACATAGTTATAGGCATCTAAAGATTTACATGCCCTCCGTTTCTCAATCAGGTTGGTGTAGATGTCAGGACACTCAACCGGAGGTAGCGTTAACGTTAATCCTGTCAGATCCTCAATCAATGAGTGTAAGGGTCGGCCGGTTCCGTCCGTTAAAATTAACTTTTGCAAATAACAATCGCGGTCCTGGACAGTGAGCGACCTTGCACATTAAGATAAAATCGGATTTTCTCCAGTCATTGTTAAAAACAAGCTAACAAAACTTGCAGACTTTACGTTAGTGAAGCGGCCAGAGGGATCGTTCTGCCACCACCTAAGCTCCGCCCACAGAAAAACGTCACCATGTTTACCAACTGAAAATTGGTCTATACAGATAGTATTTCTGAGTATTAAAAGTGTATGTGTTCAGTGGTGTATGAAGACCTTACATAATGAAGCGTTATGTGTTTATTAGCTTATAATGAGGCGTTTCTCTCTACACACACCGCGGGTCCGCTTACACACATGTTTCTACGGTGGCCCTGAGCGGACAAACGCGTTTCGTCACTGTGTGTTGTTCTTCATGATCAGAAGCTGCTAAAGTCAGCGAGTAAAACACCGACACAACGATGAACAAGTCACAATAATACTCGCCGTTTTACTGAATAATAAAGTAAACAACTTATTAATTTATCTTTGTAAAGAAACCTCATTGTTTAACTGGCTACTCTCTGCTGTCTCAGACGACGACATCACTTCCTGTCGGCCACCGTAACTTCTGTTGGGTGCAGTTCGCACACTCGCCACTAGATGCCGCTACACACTAGATGCCGCTACACACGTTAGCAGCTTTAAGTGCTAACGTGAAGTTCTGTGTGTGCTTTGCGGTAGAAAACCAAGATCTCCACGTACGATAAGATGTGGGAGTTCATGAAGAGTCGCGGTCAGTCTGTGATCGTGAAGAGCGTGGAGGAGGGAATCCATCGAGTGCTGACGTCGGATTACGCGTTCCTGATGGAGTCGACGGCCATCGAGTTCGTCACGCAGCGCAACTGCAACCTCACGCAGGTCGGAGGACTCATCGACTCCAAGGCCTACGGCGTGGGGACTCCCATGGGTAACACACACACACACACACACACACACGCGCACGCACACACACACTGATGGTTGATGGACACACACACACTGATTGTTGATGGTTTGAAGCTCTTCCTCGTCCCGCAGGCTCCCCGTATCGGGACCGCATCACACACACACACACACACACACACACACACACGTAAGCTGATTCCTCTCCTCGTCCCGCAGGCTCCCCGTATCGGGACCGCATCACACACACACACACACACACACACACACACACGTAAGCTGATTCCTCTCCTCGTCCCGCAGGCTCCCCGTATCGAGACCGCATCACACACACACACACACACAGCTGTGTTTTTGTGATATATGAGGACATTCCATAGGCGTAATGACTTTTATACTGGACAAACTGTATATTCTATCCCCCTACACTGCCCCTATCCCTAAACCTGCCCATCACACACACACACACACACACACTGCCCCTATCCCTAAACCTGCCCATCACACACACACACACACACACACACTGCCCCTATCCCTAAACCTGCCCATCACACACACACACACACACACACACACACACACACACACACACTGCCCCTATCCCTAAACCTGCCCATCACACACACACACACACACACTGCCCCTATCCCTAAACCTGCCCATCACACACACACACACACACACACACACAGCCCCTATCCCTAAACCTGCCCATCACACACACACACACACACACACACACAGCCCCTATCCCTAAACCTGCCCATCACAGGAGACATGCTGCATTTTTACATTTAAAAAAAACATTGTTTTTTATGTTTTTTAAGCTATTTGAAATATGAGGACTCATGCAATGTCCTCATATATCACGTGTAAGTTGTAATACCAGTGTAATATGCATGTCATTATACACATTTGTGTCCTCATATATCACAAAAACAAAAGCACACACACACACACACACACACACACGTAATCTGACTCCGGCGCTCTCCTCGTCCCGCAGGCTCCCCGTATCGGGACCGCATCACACACACACACACACACACACACACACACGTAATCTGACTCCGGCGCTCTCCTCCTCCCGCAGGCTCCCCGTATCGGGACCGCATCACACACACACACACACACACACACACACACGTAATCTGACTCCGGCGCTCTCCTCCTCCCGCAGGCTCCCCGTATCGGGACCGCATCACACACACACACACGCACACACACACACACGTAATCTGACTCCGGCGCTCTCCTCCTCCCGCAGGCTCCCCGTATCGGGACCGCATCACACACACACACACACACACACACACACACACGTAATCTGACTCCGGCGCTCTCCTCCTCCCGCAGGCTCCCCGTATCGGGACCGCATCACACACACACACACACACACACACACACGTAATCTGACTCCGGCGCTCTCCTCGTCCCGCAGGCTCCCCGTATCGGGACCGCATCACACACACACACACACACACGTAATCTGACTCCGGCGCTCTCCTCGTCCCGCAGGCTCCCCGTATCGGGACCGCATCACACACACACACACACACACACACACACACGTAAGCTGATTCCTCTCCTCGTCCCGCAGGCTCCCCGTATCGGGACCGCATCACCATCGCGATCCTGCAGCTGCAGGAGGAGGGGAAGCTGCACATGATGAAGGAGAAGTGGTGGCGGGGCAACGGCTGTCCCGAGGAGGAGAGTAAAGAGGCGAGCGCTCTCGGCGTGCAGAACATCGGGGGAATCTTCATCGTTCTGGCCGCCGGGCTCGTGCTGTCCGTGTTCGTGGCCGTCGGGGAGGTGCTCTACAAGTCCAGGCAGAACGCGCACATTCAGAAGGTACTTTACACAGTTAACCCTCAGCCAGTTTAACACACTACTGACTCACTCAACCAGGCCCCGCCCCTTTATTCTGCGCATGAATTATTATAATGAGGAATATTGTGACGTGTTCGTTCCCGGAAGAAACTCAAGACTACAATGGAGGCGTTTCAGGAGTTCAGAAACACTGATATAGAGAATAATCTATTTTTCTTGCTCAAACAGCAACATTACACACACTGAATTGATTTGTGTATTTACCTATTTTTTATATTTATTTAATTATTGACTTGTTTTTTTATATTTATTTATGTATTTGTGTAGTATTTTATATTTGTTTGATTGTTTGCTTTTGTATTTACTTGTTTTAACATTAATAAAATATTATTTGATTAATTTGTGTATTTACTTTTTTATTTTTTATTATTTATTTGTTTGTGTATTTACTTGTTTTATATTAATTAATATACCTGTTTATTTCTTTATTCATTTATTTGTTTGTGTATTTACCTGTTTAATATTTTAAACAGTTATCGGTAAATGCACAAACTGTTAGGCAAATTGTAAATACACAAATTAATCAATAAAAATAAGAAAATATTTTTCTTATTTTTATTGATTAATTTGTGTATTTGTTTATTTACCCATTTTATATATATTTATTTTAATATTTAAAATTTAACTATAATTTAATTTTATAAAAAAGGACCTGATGATGGAAGTCAATGTGACACGACACAACAAATGTTTAAATACACAACCTTTTACAAGTAAAGCCATTATATTTAAGGATAGTTCCCCCAATAATGAGTATTTAAGTCATTATTCACTGAAAATACAACTATAATAATGACAGGTGTGTGTGACTGAAGTGTTGTTCTCTCTATAGAGCTCAGGGTGTCTCTTAATTAATCTACATGTGTGTTTGTTTGTGTATTCACCTGTTTTATGTGTGTTTCTCCAGCGCTCGTTCTGCAGTGCGATGGTGGAGGAGCTCCGGGTGTCTCTGAAATGCCAGCGGCGGCGGAAACAAAAGCCTCAACCTCCCGCCATCGTCAAAACAGAAGAGGTCATTAACATGCACACCTTTAACGACAGGAGGCTCCCGGGGAAAGAGACCATGGCCTGAGATCCCGCGGGATCCTCCTGTAACTCTCGTCCCAACGACGGACACAAAGATGTTTCCTGTGGAAATCCGGATACGCGAGCGACTGATCGGTCTCTCTCTGTCCTGCGGCGCGACATCCTTCTCGTTCTGTGTTGCTTATCTCTGTTTTCTCTGTGAAAGACATGTAGGATGCTGTGAAATGAAGTAGATGTTTTAAACGGATCGGTTTTGATGTGAGAGAAATGCTGCCTTCAAGAGCGCCGGATGACGACAGACTCCCAGAACCTTCTCCAAACGTCTATTAGACGTTATTAGTAGGGATGCGCGATATATATCGGTATCGGCCGATATATGATCAGTTTTACTGTTATCGTTATCGGCCGGATAAGAAAATTTAGCCGCTTTATTAAAGCCGATAAATAATGTAATATTTCCTTCAGCTGAGACACTTCAGATGCGCACTGATCAACATGATGGATTTGTATCACTTCAAAAAGGAAAATATCGGCTACATAACATTATAACGTTATCATTATAATTATAATTGTGTGTTTGGGACGTGGATTTTAATGGTGAGACTTTTGTTCTTGTAATCAGGCTCTTAAAAATTATATACAAATTTGGATTTGGATTTATCGGCCAATATATCGGTTATCGGCTTTCAAATATAAAGAATTATCGGTTATCGGTATCGGCCAAAATGTTCATATCGGTGCATCCCTCGTTATTAGACGTTAATTTAGACGTTTAGAGAAAGTTCTTCTTAGTTTTGTCACACAAATGTTTTTAGAATGTTTGTTACTCAAAATAGAACCTTGAGAGTACGTTCCTGGAATGTTAGGAATTGTTAGATGTCAAAAGTCTTGATCATGATCTGATGTGCGTCAACGAAATGAATGCGTAATTACTTTCCTTCCTTTTCACTCACTGACAAATACAGGAAGCTTTTTAGCACCAATGCGACAACATGATGAGCGAGAGACCGCTGAAGCTGGAAGGCAGAATGTGTTAAACACAGAAATGAATTTAATTAAAATGATCTTACGCAATAATGTCTTTTAAAACCTTCATCTTTTCCTCGCACTTTGTAACACATCTTTCCCTTGCGGGTCAAAACGACCCGAAACCCTAAAAGTATGCTTTTTTTTTTTTTGTCCAGAAAACTTATTTTATTTCATTTTGATAATATTTTTTAATGCAATTTTTTTTTTTTTTTTTTTTTTTTTTAAAGCACATTCCTCACAACAAAATAACTCACAATTTCATGCATAACCCTTTTAATTCAGCTCTAAATATCTTACATCGGGAGTCTTTGACCTCTTGTGGAAATAATATAATAATAACACATGATATTTCATAACTCTAGATGGGCTTATAGCTCTATATGAGCAGAGGAGCAGTTCCGCTGGGTCCTAAAGCCAGTCGCTCTTCAGTGTGCATTTACACACACATGTAGACTAAATTAACTTATTAACTAAATAATTTTTTGGTAAAGTTTTAGCACTTTTAGTTGGAATTTTGAGCATTTTTAGGTTTTTCTATGTGTACTGAAGCATTCCTCGCATTCATTCATTCCTAATGGAGTCAGATTGACCCGCAAGGGAAGGATTTGTTACTTTTTAAAATTTCAACCACAAAACTCCTCGAATCCTTTACATTTTTTTGTGTGTATTCGTGGTTCAAGTGCGACAAACGTCCTGGGGTCTTGAACACTCAATTTGTAAAAAAAAGAATTAAAAAAGAGTTTCGGGTCAAAATGACCCGAGGGAAGACCAATGACGTTGGAGCGCACAGAAAAGCAGCATGAATACTGACTTGAAGGCACCAATAAAATCCATGAAACAATGTCCGTCAGTTGTATGTCGTGGGCTGCGTCCTAAATCACATACTTCCCTACTATATAGTAGGGGAAAAGCAGTAAGTATTTCTGAATTTACAGTACTCATGAAAAAGTACCTGTACGACCTGCTACTTCCGGCGGGATTCTGAAGTGTGCATCTGATGGACACTTTATGAATGTGAATGCCAACATGGCAAATGCACTACATCGGGATCGCATTCATACATGCTTTTTTAACGGTTGCAAAGTAATTCCTGGCGATTTGGGACGCAGCCGCATTCACACTCGGTGTCATGATGATCAACCACTCAAACCAAAGTTCTGTCGTTTAGATAAACTTCAACTTTTCTAGGAAAACTTTCTACTAGCATCCATTCTGTCTGTCACAGGCAACTCGACTTTCTTTGTCATTCAACGGAGATTTATAACGAGAAAAAAAGAGAAAAGCTGTTTTTGTACAGACAAATTTTGTAGTAAATCTTTATATTGCCGTGTCTGATTCCTATGTAGGTTAAAGAGGACGGCCGCGCATTAGACGCCCCACACACACACACACACACACACATGCACGTCCATCCAGCCGAGAGCAAGCAGCATCTCTATCCCAGACAGCAACATAGTGCTGGCCCATATCCGGCTCACATCTGACCCACATCTGGCTCACATCCGGCCCACATCTGACCCACATCCGGCCCACATCCGGCTCACATCTGACCCATATCCGGCCCACATCTGACCCACATCCGGCTCACATCTGACCCACATCCGGCTCACATCCGGCTCACATCTGACCCACATCCAGCTTTCATCCGGCTCACATCTGACCCACATCCAGCTCTCATCCGGCTCACATCTGACCCACATCCGGCCCACATCTGACCCATATCTGGCTCACATCCGGCCCACATCTGACCCACATCCGGCTCACATCTGACCCATATCCGGCTCACATCTGACCCATATCCGGCTCACATCCGGCCCACATCTGACCCACATCCGGCCCACATCTGACCCATATCCGGCTCACATCTGACCCATATCCGGCTCACATCCGGCCCACATCTGACCCACATCCAGCTCTCATCCGGCTCACATCTGACCCACATCCAGCTCTCATCCGGCCCACATCTGACCCATATCCGGCTCACATCTGACCCATATCCGGCTCACATCCGGCCCACATCTGACCCACATCCAGCTCTCATCCGGCCCACATCTGACCCACATCCAGCTCTCATCCGGCCCACATCTGACCCACATCCGTCCCACATCCGGCTCACATCTGACCCATATCCGGCTCACATCTGACCCATATCCGGCTCACATCCGGCCCACATCTGACCCACATCCGGCCCACATCTGACCCATATCCGGCTCACATCCGGCCCACATCTGACCCACATCCAGCTCTCATCCGGCTCACATCTGACCCACATCCAGCTCTCATCCGGCTCACATCCGAATACGCGTGGAATCCACATGTACCGGCTCACATCTGGCTTACATCCAGCTTTCATTCGGCTCACATCTGGCTTACATTCGGCTCACATCTGGCTTACATTCGGCTCACATCTGGCTTACATTCGGCTCACATCTGGCTTACATCCAGCTCTCATCCGGCCCACATCTGACCCACATCTAGCTCTCATTCGGCTCACATCTGGATCACATCTGGTTCACATCTGGATACGCGTGGAATCCACATGTGCCAGATGTGCCCCTGATCCGAGTCGACACTGTGTTGCTCTCTGGGTACAAACCTCCTTTGTTGTTTTCCAAGCATATTTTCTGTTTCCGTGTGCTGATGTTTGTGTTTACCTGACGGCGAGTCTCTCTACTGTATAATAGTGTGCTGAGCAAACGCTAGGATTTCTCCGAACCGGGTTTAATCTACAGGGACCTTTGGAAAAGAACCATGTGCAAATTAGAATCAGGTGGAGAACTGTTCAAGCTCATCTTGTAATAAAAAAAAGAGATTATACTGTGTAGAACGTGTCGTTTCCTTTCTGTGTGTGTGTGTGTGTGTTGTTCACTGTTTATCGTTTTTAATTGTAAATCAAGTTATTCTAGTAGATCAACTGGACTGTCTGTTGCTTAAAGTCAGTATGAAAGGGAAGTTGCGCTGGATTTTACTCTCTTATTTTGTCGTATATTGAGTGAAACGCTTCTGGAACAAGAACAAATGTGGGCGGGGCTTGATTTTGTCCGTGGGGAATTGATTGGATGGTTGTGGTTTGCTATTGGTGGATCTCATCAGAGTGACAGGTCATCAGAGAACCAGTTACGGGGAGAGTCACAACACCAACTAAACACTTTGATTTAAAGCGAAAATGTTTCTGTAATACAGACAAAAAGACAAAGGTACTTAAAGGCTTTAGTGAGGGAAAGAACTACAATCCCATGAAGCATTGCAAACAGCATGATCGAATTAAAAATGGAGAAATATACAACTACTCATTTAGCATATAGGTAGATGGACTCGGATTTCACGTGAGTGGGCGGAGCTAAAGAGCTATTTTGGCTTGGTTGCTTTTTTCGACTCTGATTGGTGCAATTTTCTGCACAGCATCATGGGTAATGTAGTTTTCACCAGGAATTTCACTCTTAAACAAGATTATTTAAAAAAATAAGCTGCAATAAAGTCGTCTGATTAACCTCGTAGCTCACAGTATGGCCGTCTTTAATGATTTATTAAAGTTAAAGTGAAATTTATTAAAGTTATCGATAAAAAACTATTTCCCTGTGGAGAAAATGAATGGAGGATTTACTCTACAAGACCGTCTCTAAAGAGATGTTGAGGGGAAGTTATTTTGATTCAAAATTACGAGGATATCCGATGTGCATATATTTATAATAGCCAAAAATATTGCAATATGCCATAAAAAAAATAGGCACTGTCCATTTTGCTTTCATGGGGACTTTAATAATATTACAGGCTCTAATAGTTTGTTTGATTTTACTTGTAACATCACAACAATTTAGATTATAATCGAAATGTTTTGTTTGTATGTGGAACTTCCTCATGAACCATCGGTCAGCTGATGCTGCGTCACATGACATGATGCGGTCACATGACCGGCTGGATCACACACACACACACACAGAGAGAGAGAGAGAGACGTTTCCCGCAGCAGAACTGAACCGATCCGATCCAGAAAGGCAGTGACCTCTGATTCGGAGTGAGAGAAGATCTGGATCCGGATCCGGTGAGTGATGAAACCATAATCCATCGCGTGCATCAGTTTCATTCAGGTTTTTTTTTAAACTCTATTCTGATTCATCTGATCAACGCAGTTCTATAGAATACCAATGCATGTGGAGATTTAAACAATTCTTCATACATTATAGGCTATAATGTTTGCGATGCACATATAGATTCGGGTTGTGCATTCTAGCAGGAAGTGTCAAACAGGAAGTAAAAGACGTGCTCATTTATTGTGATGAGTTATTATTAAAAATGAGATTGATATCGCTGTTTGTTCCAGTAGGCTATATATAAATATATATATATATATATATATATATATGTATATAAAGTGAGGAAGGTTTTAAGGTTAGGGTTCTTAAGGATGTTTGCTAATTACCTGTGTGTGTGCAAGTCACGTGTGTATCATGTGAGTCATGTGACCCTGACAGGTGTTTCTCTCATGATGTTTACAACAGACATTCGAATAAAGCTTTAGTAGTGCGAAATAGAATTGAAATGGTCTAATTCCACATTAATGTTGTGTTTGTGTTGGTTTACACACAATGTAATCATTCAGTGTTTGTGCCACAAATTCCAATTATAATGTTCATTGTTACATTTGTACGCAATTGTGTAAACAAATGTACGGAAGCGTATTGCATTCACTTGAGGAAAAAAATCTACTCTGTTTTTTAATTAACGAGTTAATTATCTCAGAATTACAAGATATTTTTTCATGAAAAAAAGTTTTTGCTCTGTTTTTCTGAATTAACGAGTTAATTATCTCAGAATTATGAGATACATTTTTCTTGAAAAACTTTTTTTCACTCTATCTCATAATTCTGAGATAATTAACTCGTTAATTCAGAAAAACTGAGTAGATTTTTTTTTTCTTCAAGTGAATGCAATACGCTTCCGTACATTTGTTTACAAAATTGCTACATTTGGAAAAATAGAATGTAACGTCACAGTTTTATATAGTATTGTATTTTGACTTTGAACTGTCTTGATCTAAATAATGTCATTCATGTCTTATGAAGTTAAAGGCATTTCATAATTCAATTCAATACAATCTGTGTAAATAAATGTGACTTCGCGTAAAATGACATTCTTCTTTCCTGTCAAGTTATTAAATTAAATTCACATTCAATTCACGTTTATTTGTATAGCACTTTTCACAATACACATCATTTCAAAGAGTCCATTACAGTTTGGATAGGTCTGTTATCAGAGGAAACTAAGTTATGTATTTCAGAAATGTACATATACAAAGTCACAGTTAGCTAAAAATGTATTAATTTAAACAATGTAATAATTTAATGAGATCATTGAAGTAATGAACACAAGGAAGACTTTCTTTTCTCTATTCAAAACAAGTTGATGTAAAATGCCATGCCGTCAGAATGAGTGTGATATGGTTATGGTTATTATGGTAATGTGTTTCAGACATGCAGTGGTCCGCACTGACTCTGGTTCTGGCGTTCTCCTCGGCCACCTTGGCTCTGGATAACGGTCTGATGAGGACCCCTCCCATGGGCTGGTTGGCATGGGAACGCTTCCGCTGTGACATCGACTGTGAGGACGACCCGCAGAACTGCATCAGGTGATCCAGAACCAGCCTTTCATTCGCTGATCCAGAACCAGCCTTTCATTCACTGATCCAGAACCAGCCTTTCATTCACTGATCCAGAACCAGCCTTTCATTCACTGATCCAGAACCAGCCTTTCATTCACTGATCCAGAACCAGCCTTTCATTCACTGATCCAGAACCAGCCTTTCATTCACTGATCCAGAACCAGCCTTTCATTCGCTGATCCAGAACCAGCCTTTCATTCGCTGATCCAGAACCAGCCTTTCATTCGCTGATCCAGAACCAGCCTTTCATTCGCTGATCCAGAACCAGCCTTTCATTCGCTGATCCAGAACCAGCCTTTCATTCGCTGATCCAGAACCAGCCTTTCATTCGCTGATCCAGAACCAGCCTTTCATTCGCTGATCCAGAACCAGCCTTTCATTCGCTGATCCAGAACCAGCCTTTCATTCGCTGATCCAGAACCAGCCTTTCGCTCGCATGTTTCACTGATCCAGAACCAGCCTTGTTTTCTGTTTTCTCTTTATTTTTAATAATTGTATGTGCTTTTGTCCATTCTTTTAGTTAGTATTACTATTTACTATTTTTACTATTTTACTATAATTTTACTATTATTACTATTAAGGTTTAATTCATTTATTTGTAATTAATCAGTTTCAACTTTATTTCATCAACAAAAATATTTGTAGTATTATCTATATATTATTATAGTTTTTATTAATATGTATATGTTCTTTTAGTCTATTCTAATCTATTTTAGTTTATTTTTAATACTTTTGTGTGCTTTCAGTTCTTTTAGGAAGGATCACTATTAAGGTTTAAATTATTTTTAATTAATTTCAGCTTTATTTTATTATGTTTTAGTGTTATTTATACTATTATAGTTTTTATAAAATGTTGAATTAGCTTTTATTTTGACATTTTCTGTTTTAATTGTAATTTTAGTGTATTTATAATCATTTTATTGTGCTTTTGTCAGTGTTTTTATTTTATTATTTTGATTTAATTTATTTTCATTTTAGTTTAGTTATAGTTTATTTGTTTCAAATATTAATATTGTTCTGTTTTCATTTTAATTGTAGTTAAAAAAATGTTTATAATTTTGTAATGTGCTTTTTTTTTCTTTTTCTTTTTTTTATATTACTATTTAGGTTCAATTTATTTTAATTTTAGCTTTAATTTAAAATTATTTCAGTTTATTGCCAAGGCACCATTTCTAATTTTCGTTTACTTTGTTTTCTTATCTAATATTTATCCATTTTTTATTTCAGCTTTATTTCAATTAATACAAATATCTTTATCATTTTTATTAATATTCTGATTTCGCTTTTATATTAATATTTTCCAGTATTAATTTTAGTGTATTTTTTATCTTTTTGTTATTTTTTTAATTTTATAGTTTTTTATATAATGTTTTATATCACTATTTAGGTTAAATTTATTTTAATTTCAGTTATAGATTATTTGTTTCCAGTTAATGATTTTGATTCAACTTTAATTTATTTCAGTTCATTGCCAAGGAAGGCAACGTTTCTAATGTTCTTCTCTAAGTGTTTCATCTAATACTGTAGCGATGAACGCGTGAAGAATCCTAACGCTGCCGGTGTGTGTGTGTGTGTGTGTGTGTGTGTGTGTGTGTGTGTGTTCTCCCTCCCGCAGCGAGGCGCTGTTCACAGACATGGCTGACAGACTGTCGGAGGACGGTTGGAGAGAGCTGGGTTACGTCTACATCAACATCGACGACTGCTGGTCCTCCAAAGAGAGAGACAATCAGGGCCGCCTGCAGGCCGACCCCAAACGGTGCTGACCTCTGACCTCTGACCTCTGATAGTAGAGTCGGGCTGCACGATTAATCGCTCTGAAACCACAAGCGATTTGGCAAAGGCTGCGATTATTTTATACAAAGCTTCTCAGTGACAAACGGCAGATCGGTAGTAAATGCTTTATCTGAACACCAGAGTCTCACACACACACACACTCCACATATCCATCTGAACCCCAGAGGGCGTCTCTCTCTCTCTCTCTCTCTCACACACACACACACACACACACTTACTCCACATATCCATCTGAACACCAGAGGGCGTCTCTCTCTCTCTCTCTCTCACACACACACACACACACACACACACTTACTCTACATATCCATCTGAACACCAGAGGGCGCTCTCTCTCACTCACTCACTCACTCACACACACACACACACACACACTGTAATATTTAGAGGATCTGTTGACAGAAATGCAATATCATAAACATAACTATGTGTTCAGTGGTGTATAAAGACCTTACATAATGAAGCGTTATGTGTTTATTAGCTTATAACGAGGCGTTTCTCTCTACACACACCGCGGGTCCGCTTACACACACATGTTTCTACGGTGGCCCTGAGCGGACAAACGCGTTTCGTCACTGTGTTGTTCTTCATGATCAGAAGCTGCTAAAGTCAGCGAGTAAAACACCGACACAACGATGAACAAGTCACAATAATACTCGCCGTTTTACTGAATAATTAAAGCTGCAGTCCGTATCTTTTCCTCTTTGTCGCCATCTCTCTGTTCGAAATCTGTAACTGCAGTGATTGGCTGAATTATCATCTTTACGTGGGTTGTAAATCGGCATGAAACAGCGCGGATGAACACAGTGCTTTGAGGCGAGTGCTGCTGTCAGTCACCGCGCTGTGTGGATACTGGCATACAGAATCACAGATTCACTTTTTGAAAGTTTGACCAACATAAGAATTTTCATAAGAAAATGTCTTCTGAACAAGTAAGTAAAATCCATTTTTGTTCTGACCAACTAAGGGGGAAAAAGCATTCGACATGATAAGCTTCGTTAGATTTAATCAACGCGATTTACAGCAACCGTGCAAATTATAGCCTACTTTGTTCTCAAATTGTACATGTTAACAACATCAGCATTGCGTGACTAATGTTAAATTTAATGTGTTTTATGGTTACCTGTGTAGTTCAGAATTCATATTCTCCATAATAGCAAAACGAGAAAGGCACAACAAAGGAAACTCCATAACTGTGTGAATTAAGCAAACGTACTGTTACACGATTGAACTATTGAAATGTCTTACTTGTTCAGCAGAAAAAAGCCGTCTCTTCTTCCGTTTCGAACCCCTTCAAAACACGGAGTTCACGCACTTTTCAAAAGCCCCGCCGATGTTTAAATCCTTGTGTTCGCATGAGACGGTTTCTTTCTCTTTCTCTAGCCACCTTAAATCCGAAGTACGAAGTCTTTTGGGTTTTATAACTGCTGGATCTCCAGTTGACACTGATGATTGTTGTCTGGATCTTTCTGGATGCCATAAGTTTAATTATGTAAAGTGCTGCGAGAAAAGCCTATACATCTAAACATCTCGTCACGCGCAGTATAGCCGGCTAACCGAAACTCCTTCTTTATGTGTACGGGTGTGACGTCATGACGCAAAGACATGCTCGAATTTCCCGCGGAAACCCACCAGTACCACTGGAATTAAAATCATTATTACAAGCTAACCGTTTTGAATCTAGCTATGGCAAGCAGATAGTTTTGACCACTGGCAGAATAAGTTTTTTTAATATAATTATTTTGAACTTAAAGTTACGGACAGCAGCTTTAAGTAAACATCATTTCTTAATTTCTCTTTGTAAAGAAACCTCAGTGTTTAACTGGCTACTCTCTGTGTCTCAGACGACGACATCACTTCCTGTCGGCCACCGTAACTTCTGTTGAGTGCAGTTCATAACCTCGCCACTAGATGCCGCTACACACACACACTGCAGCTTTAAGTGCGATTACATGTACATTGCGATTAATCGCTCTATAGCAGACACATTGCTCCTTCATCTCATGTTATTGTGAATCAATCTGCAGGTTTCCACATGGCATTCCTCGTTTGTCGCGTTACATCCATGATCGTGGGTTAAAGCTGGGCATTTATGGAGACATGGGCACACACACGTGTGGCGGATATCCCGGAACAACTCTGGATAAAGTGCAGACGGACGCCCAGACGTTTGCGGACTGGGAAATCGACATGCTCAAGCTGGACGGGTGTTACTCAAACTCCACCTATCAGGAGCAAGGTGAGGAAACCAACACAATATTCCTCATTATAATAATTAATGCACAGAATAAAGGGGCGGGGCCTGGTTGAGTTAGTTAGTAGTGTGTTAAACTGGCGGTTATGGAAAGGGGCGGGACATTTCCCAAACACACTCGAAGCGCTCGACCAATCACAACACACTGCTCCAGCCGACCAATCAGAGCACAGTGTGCTTTCAGGAGGAGGGGCTTCATAGAGACAGGAAGTAAACAGAGCGTTACTGACAGACCGGGAAGAGAGGAGCCGCAACAATGGAGAATATGAGGAGAATAATCAACATTCAAGCAGGAAAACCTGTTCTAGTAGAGCAACAACAACATCAAGACTGTGTGAAAGACATAATAGGCAGGAATGGGAGAAATTAAGCTTTTCGAAACGCTTATTCAATTAAATAAAATGATTCACTCTCAAAATCCCACACGCTGGTGGACAAAACATGCATAAAAAACACCTTTTACAAACCAAATGCTAAAGCTTGATTAATCAGACCAACAGGA